GAGTAACTTGCTGGGATTTTTTATTGTGATTGTCTGGAATCTATAGATAAAGTTGGGAAGTATAGACATTGTGGCAATATGGAGTCTTCCTATCATGAACAAGAAATATCTCAACATAGTTTTTCTTTGATTTCTTTCATCAGAATTTTGTATTTTTTCTCATGTATGTCTTTATATTTTGTTAGGTTTTTACCTCAGCATTTTTTTTAGGGGGGGTATTAATTTGCCCAGTTGTGTCTTTCAGGGAATTGGTCCATTTCATCTAGTTTACAAATTTGTGGTGTAGTTCATAATGTAACTTTATTTAATCTTTGGAATGTACATGGGATATGTGATGTCCCCTTTTTTATTTCTGGTGTTAACAATCTGTGTTCTCTTTTTTCTTCTTAGTTAGTTTGGCCAGAGGCCTTTGGTTTCATTGTTTTTCTCTACTGGTTTTCTGTTTTCAATTTCATTGATTTCTGCTCTATTTTTTTTTTTTTTTAATTTCTTCTGCTTATCTTGGATTTAACTTGTTCTTCTTTTTCTAGTTTCCTATAGTGGAAACCTAGATGATTGCATAGAATGTTATAAATTTCCTTCTAAGCAGTGCTTTTGCTGTATTGCACAAACTTTAAGTTTATTTTAATTTTCATTTTGTTCAAAATATTTTAAAATTTACCTTGAGTTTCTTTGGTACATTATTTAAATGTGTGTCTAATCTCCAAGTATTTGGGGATTTTTCAGCTCTTTCTCTTAATTTTTGTTTATTTCCCTTGTAGTTTGAGAGCAGACTGTTTGATTATAATTCTTCAATTCTTTAAATTTCTTAAGCTTTAATGGCCTAAATTATGTTTGATGGCCTAGAATGTGGTCTGTCTTGGTGAATATTTTATATGAGCTTAAGTAGAATGTATATTCTGCTGTTGGATGAACTTGTGTATAAGCATCAATTATATTCAGTTGATTGATGGTACTGTTGAGTTCAGCTATATCCTTACTTACTTTCTGCCTGCTGGATTTGTCGACTTCTAAAAGAGGAGTGTTAAAAATTCTCTGACCGTATAATAGCAGATGCATCTGTTTCTTCTTGCAGTTCTATTAATTTTTGCCTCATGTATTTTGACACTCTGTTAGGCCCATACACATTAAGGATTTTTATGTCTTTTTGGAGTATTGAACCCTTTGTCATTATGTAATGCCCCACTTTATCCTGGATAACATTCCTTGTTCTGAAATCTGCCCTCTCTGAAATTAATATAGCTAACTCCTGGTTCTTTGTTTGTTTGGTTTTGGTTTTGGTTAGTGTTAGCATGATGTATCTTTCTCCCTCCCTTCACTTTTAATCTATATTTGTATTTTTTTAAAGATATATTTATTTATTTTTGAGGAGGGTATGAATAGGCAGAGGGAGAGAATCTTTAAGTAGACTCCCCACTGAGCACAGAGCTCAAGTAGGGCTCCATCTCACAACCCATGAGATCAAACCAAGTTGGATGCTTAACCAACTGAGGCACCCAGGCACCCCTCTATATGTGTATTTATACTTAAAATGAATTTCTTGTAGACAACACACAGTTAGGTCTTATATTTTGCTCCACCTTGATAATCTGTCTTTTAATGTGTATGTTTAGACCAGTGATGTTTAAAGTGATTATTCCTATAGTTAGATTAATATACCATATTTATTTTTTTCTATTTGTTGCCCTTGTTCTTTACTTCTTTTTTTGTCGACTTTTTTCCTGATTTTGTGGTTTAATTGAGCATTTCATATGATTTTATTTTCTCTCCATGGGGAAAAACAGTTCATGCATGTAGTCTTTTGACCCTATTTGGCCACATAAGAATGATCCTTAGGCCAGAACACTTCCTTCTCAAGAGATAGGGTCCTCACAGTCTGTGTATGGAAATAGCTTTCCCTGTTTCAGGCAACAATGTATACTCCTTTGTTTTGCTTAAGCATGTGTGTCGTATGGCACCTGAACAGCCTTAATGCTAGATCTATCCCCTGCTGGAAGGGGATGACATCCTTCATTCTGTGGTGCAGGAGAGGTGTGTACAGACCAATTGCCCTGTGTTGGCTGCTGGAAGTGACCCGCTGGCCATGGCAGACTAATGTCTAATACTGAAGATCGTGCTCTTTCTCTGTTTACTGTGAGTCAAGTGTTCTGTTCAGTACTTGACAGCATTGTTTTCTGTGGTGACTCTGATATCAAGATGCATTTGGACTTCTACTCCTGATAATAGGCAAGACATGTCACTTGCTCAATGCCCTCCTTTCTTAGCATATCAATAATACTTGTTTTTACTTTTTTAGTGCTTGGCCTAGAGTTTGCGGTATACATTAACAACTAATCCAAGTCTGCTTTTGAATAACGTTGTATCACTATATGAGTACAAGGACCTTATAATAATAAGATATTCCTAACTCCTCCCCATCCCTTGTGTCATTGCTATCATTCATTTCAAGTAAATGTAAGCACACATGTATATACATATATATACACACACATAATTGAATACATTGTTGCTATTTTTATTTTGAATAAACTTACCTTTTTATCAATTAATGAGAAAAATAAAAGTTTTTATTTTATCATCTCCTATTCTTCCCTGATGCTCATTCTTTAAGGATATCCATGTTTCTGACCAATATCATTTTCCTTCTCTCTGAAGAACTTCTTTTAACATTTCTTGCACAGCAAGTCTACTGGCAACAATTTCCCTCAATTTTTGTCTGAGAAATTCTTTATTTTTCCTTCACTTTTGAGGGATAAGTTTGAATGGTACAGAATTTTAGGTTGGTGGGTTTTTTTTTTCTTCCGGAAAATTTAAATATTTCACTCCTCTCTCTTATTACCTGAATGACTTCTGAGAGGTAGTATGTAATTCTTATCTTTGTTGCTCTATAGGTAAGGTGCTTTTTCCCCTCTGGCTTCTTTCAAGATTTTTTATCTTTGATTTTTCTGCAGCCTGAATATGATGTGCCTAGATGTAATTTTTGGTATTTACTGTGCTTGGTGTTTTCTGAGCTTCCAAGATCTATAGTTTGATGTCTGACATTAACTTGGGGGATACTCTCAGACCTTATTGCTTTAAATAATACTTTTGTTCCTTTCTTCTCCTGGTATTCCCATTTTGTGTATGTTATACCTTTTGCAGTTCTCCCACAGTTTTTGCAGATTGTGGGTTTGTTTTGTTTTTTTTATGTTTGTGGGGGGAGGGTCTTTTTCTCTTTACGTTTCATTTTGGGAAATATCTCTTGTCATCTCCTCACACTCAGAGATTCTTTCCTCAGCCATGTCCAGCCTGCTAATAAGCCCACGTGTTTGATCTCTAGCGTTTCTTTTTTTTAGGATGTCACTTCTATTAACTTTTGAAGATTATAGCACTTAAATTATGTTTGCTTGAATGTATGAAGGTTAAAAAAATTTTTTTTCATAAAATACAAGAGCACCCAATTTGGTCATCAAGTAAAAGTAAAAACTAGGTTTCCTTTTAAATTAGTCCAAAGTAGCATTTAGGAGCTTAGTCGTAGGCTGCAGTGTTGACACCATGACAAAGCCAAGTATAGGGTTGGGTCTGGTTTTGTTTGGTTGTTTTCAGTAGCCAGTGCTCCTGGATTAAGTTCTGAAAATGGTCTAGTTGTAAGGCAGAGATCTATTTGGATTCCACCAGAGTTATGTTCCTTGAGTTGGCTGCTGCAGGGTGAGGCACATTTTCTAGTACCCATATCAACTACCTACTAGTCATCAAGGTAAAAAAATTCATCATCTCCTCCTTGGTATTCCATTCCATGGAAATCAACTCAGTATTGCAAGATACTTCAGTTCCACCAAATCCTTTCACAAACTAGGATCTTTCTTATGACCGGTGACAGTTTCTAGTGTAGCTCCAAATTTTTGATAGTTGTGAGCAAACCATTCCAAGAGGGACATATTCTCAGTCAGTTCATGTTCCTGTCCTGTCAGTGAAATGAGATTTATCCTTCTCTTATTCTTCAGTTAGATAGAGAATTTTCTCCTCTTCTGTGCCTTGGCAATGAAGAACATTTCTCATTATATCCAGATTTTCATAAACTGTTAGAATCTCTACAGCTCCCACTTGCAAAGCCTTTAGTGTATCTTCATCTCCAAAACAGTACTTACCTGTGTCCTGGCTGACTTCACCAAAATGTTGAATTAATTTCTCTGTTTGAATGAATTTTACCTCAGTAGATAACTCAATGGCTTGGTTTCCATTTTCATCACCATAGGATATATCAACTAATTTTAAATCTTTTGACTGCAGCGTCTCTCCAAACATATCAGATTGACTTCGTTCAGTTTTAAGGTCAGCTGATCCACCTAAAGTGAGACTGGTCACATTCATTTTGTGGAAATAAACAGCTGTCTAGCAGTCTCTGCTACTTTCTAAATATAGTTATTCCACTTCCAGACCAGGCCTTACACGTATGGATTGCTCGGCTCAGTGCTCAGGGTTCCCTCTTCTGTGCCCAGTATCAGTCAGGTCTTGGTTTTTGCAGAGGTACTGCTTCTGGCCCAGGCAAGCTACACCTGTCTACTTGCCATGCTGCTTGATGGTTGCAGCTCTTTGATCTCCTGCTCCAACTAGGCAGTATGATCCTAATTCTAAGCTTTATGCTGAAGGCTTTATGCTGAATTTTGTACCTCACCATTTAGTTTGGAAGGAGGGTGCTGATAACTTAGCCCCTAAAATTCGTGCATAGACTGGCCTTTACTTACTGTTTTGATTTTCCTTTATACTTTTCTTTTCTTGCTTTGACTATAGATCCGAATATTTATTATTAATTTTTTCTTTTATTATAGTGGTAAGAGAGATTTGTGCTTATGCTCAATCTTCCATTTTGACCCCAGAAGTAGAAAATAGCTTTAAATCCAACTACGAAGAGCTTTTACTTATTTAATAAGGTTAGTGGGCAGTGGACAATCTTTGACTTAGGGTGAAAAAAATCTAAAAGTTTTAAAAATAAAATCAACTGAATTATATCTCTAAAACAGACCATGATCAACCACTGTATGACTGTCCTATGTGTGGGCTCATCTGTACAAATTACCATATTCTCCAGGAACATGTTGACTTACATTTGGAAGAAAGCAACTTTGGACAAGGTATGTTGATATGTTTAAAAATAAGAATCTCATGATTTAATTTCTGCTTCCTAGGATATATCTAATTTTTAGAGTAGTGATACAGAGGGAAAAAAGCATACTGGTTAAAAATAAATTTGTCCCTTTAAAGAATTCTAATGTAACTTCAACTTCTTTTTAGAAGTTGTTTCGCAGAAAAGTTGTGTAGGATGAACTGTTTTGAGCAGTAACTAAATTAGTGATTTTGCCCCCAGAGTTTTGCCCCAGAACACTAGTATTTAGAAGACAATGAAATATGTACACTTTAAGAAATCTGTTTGCTGAGGTTAAGGCCATTCTTTCAACAGCTAGAAATAACTGAATTTAGCATCAGGTCAGCAAAAGTTGTTGTTGAACTAGGAAGCTGCCATATGGCACTTAGAGTTTTTAAAAAATATATGAACTGTATGATTGAAATGTTTTTCAAGTTCATTTCCAGTTTGCCCAGTTTCTTATATTACCACTTACTGGTTTTGTAAGTGACTCTATACAATTTTTTCTCTGTTCCTTATCTTTTTGAATAGTGGCATTGATAAAGTAATCATTGTGGTGCCTTAGAAGTAGAAGGATTCTGTGAGTTTCAGAGTCCCATTGAAACAATATAAAGTAGATCCTAAGAGAAACCAATTGTGTTCTACTGGATTTCATTTTCTTAAGGTACATTGATATCTCCTGTTAATTCAGGGGTCTTCAGTACCCAGTATTAATGATCCTAATACCAATCAGTGATCTTCATGAGTAATACTCCTTGCTCACTCAGCCTAATCCCAAAATGAGAATCACTGGAGCAAAGATGGAACAGTCCTCTTCTCCAGTGATTCTCTACCGACTGCTGTGGAAAAATAACCCTCTGAAGCTGAAAGTCTGATAATTCTTTTGTTTATAATAGGCTTTGTATGGGTACATAAACTATTCTATAAGCCTATGGTAGATAATGAAAGATATGTCCTGAGTAAATCACTGTAGATAGTGTCAGAAGTACGCTAAAAATCAGTTGTAAATTGTTTATCTCCGGCAATGGAAGTGGGGACCAAATAGGAAGATGTAGTAGAGACTGAGAGATTTGAAAGGAAAAAAGAATATTCAAATACATAATTCAAATATCAAATTGGAAGTCAGGGAGACCAGATCCTGGCCAGAAGCTACTGACTAATGGATCTGTGAGATATTGGGTAGAGAGGAAACAGGGAAACACGCTGCAAAGTTGTACCATTTGTTTGAGACCAGACGGTGATTAAGCTATACTTGGCAGACATATTTTTATGCTCTTCATTATTTCCTTTTCTCCCCCCAGTTTATTTTAAAAGCCAATCCTTATTTGTGTTAATAAGGAACACCAATGAAGAGTATTACTTGATTTCTCTAAGTTCTGGTTTCCTTAGGAAATAATACCTAACTTCCTAAGGTTGTTATGAGGATCAAATGAGATAATTAATGAAAAATGCTTGTCACAGCCTACCTATTCAGTGAATATTGGTGATTTAAGTGGAGGTTCTACCCTGTAGAAGCCATTCAAGTTCTGCTAGAAACAGTGTTTCCGTGACATCATAGTCGTGAGTAAATATCAAAATAATAGCATTTATTCCATTTAAAAGATATGAGTTAACGTATAATAGGTGAGATTTGAATTCATAGTTATTTTATTCTAAACATTAAAAATATCTAATAGGCATAGATAGAGTCCAATGTTCTAGAGATCTAGAATTGGCTCACCAGCTTCAACAAGAAGAAGACAGAAAGAGGAGATCTGAAGAATCACGACAAGAAATGGGAGAATTTCAGAAGCTGCAGGTACAAAGATTAATAACAATTGTAATATTTTGCTTTGGTAGAGTTCTTATTTTTCAAACATGCTGTCAAGACTGCAGCCTATTATTTTTGTCATTTTTGGTATACAAAATACTCTTTTTACATACACATTTTATAATTCATAACAGCTACCACTTATAAGTACTCATTCTGGTCATGTACTGGGATAAGCACTTCATATATAGTATCTTAAGATCATCACAACAACTCCCTAAATGACAGATGAGGAAGTAAAGACAGAGTGCTTATGTAGCTAGTAACTTGTTCAGGTTCAGGCTGTATTAAATGGTAAAGCCTGGATTCAAACCTATGTTAAATTGACCAGGGCAGATTAGGAAGCAAATACTCAGAATTTAAGTGTTTGTATAGATAGATACTTAAAAGAGAAACTTAGAATTAGTATTTCCTGTCTGAGTGTTAAATTTTTTTAGTGATTGCAATTCAGGCATTTAAAAAGAACCATTTTTAATAGAAAATCCAATTTTGGTGGTATTTGAGACTTTATCTTGGGTTGATGGTGGTACCTGCTGAACTAAACTGGCAGCATCTAATATATTTTTAATGCATTTAAATTTTTAATAGATTTTTCTACTTTTTTCAGTCATAATTTTCTGTGAACTACTACCTGTGCTAATAATGCTCAGAGTTTCTAAAAAGTCTTTTTCTACGTGCTAATAGGATAACGTTTGAATAAAAAGGGCTTATGATTGAATAGGTTTGAAAGTATTCAGTTAAACACGTTTGTATACTGCAAGATTTCTCAAAACCTTTAATATACTAATGTGCATTGTACCTACCATAATTTTCTCAGACCTACTTCTGAGTTTTTCTTCTCAGATATGTTACACATGACTATGTAATTCTCATTTTAGAATATCTAATTTAGGCTGTTTTTCTCCTTGGTGATTCATTTATTTGCAAAACATTTTCCCACCAAGATTCAGAGGAGGAAAAAAAGTTTGCTTTTCCTCAGTTTTCTTTGTCTTATATAATTTTGAACATTATCAATACAAAAAGTTTCCAGTATTTAAGGGAGTTTGTTAAGTAACTTTGCAAGTTGTTTAGATCTCAAAAACTTTTTCCATAGAGGCTGTGTTATACATTGGAGATTCTCTATCCAGTGTGCAAAAAAACGTAGCTAATTTACTATGTAGAATTACTGCCTGAATGAATTATGGATTAAGTAGGCCTTCATAGGCTAGCCTGGAACCAAATAATAAGTACTGACAAGTTTTCTTAAATAAATCAGTGGTATGTTCAGAACTCATCTGCCTTTTTCCATACCTTTAGTAGGAAGGCAGGATTCTCTACCTTCCCTAATACAAAGAAAGCAAATCTCTTGCCCTGGTGGTTGTTAACAGAGAAAGGCTGTTACTAACTTAGGGATTTGTGTGTGTGTGTTATTTATCTTTAATAAAAATCTTAAGAAAAATCTTTAAATAAAAATCTCTAATAAAAAATCTCAATCTTGTATGAAAGTCTATAAACCAGAATGTTTCAAAGTACATTTCCAAATAAATAAAATTGTAATAAGTTTCCATCCTCATAGAGGTAAAGGGACATAAAAAGTAAGTCATTTTTATATTTGCTAGAGACAATATGGTTTAGATAATTCTGGAGGATACAAACAACAGCAACTACGAAATATGGAGATAGAAGTCAATAGGGGAAGAATGCATCCATCTGAATTTCATAGAAGAAAAGCTGATATGATGGAATCGCTAGCTATTGGTATTGATGATGGAAAAACAAGAACTTCTGGTGAGTACTTAAACATCAAAATCATTATTTTAGTGTTTCATATAACAGTGAAGTAATAATCAGGATTTTTTGAATTTTGCTTAATTTTAATTATCCATAGTTTGTATACTTTTAGGTGAGACTCTTCAAATAATTTTTTTTAATGTGTTTTTTTTTAAACCTCTGCACTTTTATTTTTTCATTAAATAATTCACTTAAAAATAATTTACTTTTATATTGTGTTCATTTACTTGACATTTGGAAATGAGCCTTTTAGAAGTTTTTATTGAATGTTTACTATGTTCTAGATCAATGCTGTGTGATAGAAGTATAAGTGAGTCAAATATGTATATACATATATATTTTTTAATTCCAATAGTCACATTAGAAAAAGTAAGAAAGAAGGATGAAGTGAAATTAATTTTAATATTTTAAACCCTATGTGTCCATAATAATTATTATTTCAACATATAATCGATATGAAAAACTATTAACGAGATATTTTGCAATCTTCGTACATTCTTCAAAATCCAATGTGTATTTTATACTTTACAGAGTATTTATATCTGGACAAGTCACATCTCAAGTGCTTAATAGTCACACTTAGATAGTGGCTACTATATTGTTTTAGTATAGATTTAGACACTAAGATCTTTATATATATGCATCATTTAACTCAAAACAGACATTCGCTTGTATACTGTTACATTTTTCTGGATTAGTTAATTGTGATTTAGATAGATTAAATTACTTTCCCAACGTAACCACATAGCTACTTACTGGCCCAGCTAGTAGTCACAATCCAATCTGCCTTGCTCCAAAGAATGCCTTTTCCATGATGTTTTTTAAGGTATCTTTTTAATATACCTATTAGTGTAGTAAAAAAATTTATATGGAAACAGCTTTGTTCCTGCCACAGAGGTTCCTAATCTTACTGTTTTAAAGCTGTAAACCTCCCATATGTATTTTAAATCCCTTGTGCATCCCTTTCTGATTCTAAGCCCTCCTCATCCACAAGGAGAACCGATATCCTGATTTTGGTATTTATTAGTCTCATATACTGTAATGCTTTCACCATATATGTAGGCGTCCATAAATATATGTAATATTTTAATGTATTTAAACTATGTATAAATTGGTATACATCTGCTTCTGTTTGGTCTGCTCAGAGATGGTGATTCTTATAGCTGTACTTCCTTCATTTTGACTCTGTATAGTACTTCCTTGTATGAGTTATACACAACTTATTTACCTGTTTTTGTGGTTGACAAACATTTAGGTTGTTCATACAAATTATGAATAGGTTTTTTTTGTTGTTTGTTTTGTTGTTTTTTTTAATCCTTAATGCCCATTATCCATTTACCCCGTCCCCCACCCACCTCCCCTCAGTTTGTTCCCTTTTGTCAAGAGGTCTTTTTTAAAAGTTTCTCTGTAATGCATCCAGAACTGGAAATACTAGGTTAGAGGGCATATACATCTCTAACTTTGTTAAGGTTATTGCAGAATTGTTTTCCAAAATGATCATAATCTACATTTGCATCATTGTATTCTCACTCACACTTTGTACGGTGACACTTTTTAATTTTTGCTACTCATTTTTGAAATGATATGGTACTTAATTTGCATTTTCCTAATTACTCCTGAGTTAGTTTCTTCAGTAAAAAACCTATTCCTTTCCTTTGTCTGTCCTCTTTTGGGTTGTCTTTTTCTTATTGATTTGTGGGAGTTCCTTCAATATTTAGGACACTAATTCTTTGTTGATTACATGAAATACAAATATCTTCTTCAATATTTATAATTTGCCTTTAAATTTTGTATATGGTATCTTTAATTAGAGTTTTAAATTTGAATTTAATCAAATTTCTGTCTTTATCTTTATTTATATCCTAAGTGTCTTGTTTAAGGAAATCCCCCAACTTTGAGGTCATAAACATACTCCTTTATATTTTCTTTAAACATTTATACTTTGCTTTTCATATTTCTACTTTTAATTCACTTGGGATTTATTTGTACATAAGTGTGTTTGAGAGAGAAGGAGCGAGAGAAAGAGAAGGTGTGGATTTAATTTTTTCCCATTTATAACAGTACTTTTAAGTTCTTATTGCTTATGTATCTCAAGCAATAAGAAAGGAAAGGAACTCTGTACTTTCCCCACTTATCTGTAATTCCCTTTGCCATATATTTTCAATTCCATGAGTCTGTTTCTGAAGACCATCTTTATATTTCTTCAAGGGTCTCCATGTAAAAAGGTTTCTGTGGGATAGGACATTCCAGCAGATGTGGAATATGATTCATTAGGGTATACAGGAAGAAAATACTAGAATTTCTATTTGTTTTTAATTTATGTCACCCTTTAATTTCTATTTGTGCATATGTTTTAAAATTACTATAGAATGTAGTAGAGTATGTATAATTTAATACTAATATATCTGTAAAAGATTAAAGGATACTGCTCTGTAATGTGCTATGTCCTTTTGCTTTGAAATTCTGCTTTGAAATTCAGTGATTGTGTGGCAAAGATTTTTATTTTTATTAGTTATGCAAATGTTAATTGAAGCAGCTATTAGTTTAAGCTATTATTTCTGTTTAACAATAGATTATAATTTAACAAAAGATATTGGAAAATATCTAAAGAGATTTAGGGGCCAAGGATAAAAAATCTTATTATGAGGAAATTTTTCTTTGGCAATTATATATGATGCTAAGGTTGCTAGGACCCTGTTACCTAGACAGTGAGGCACCATTGTCTTAGTATAATAAGTAGTATGCTAGTGTTAGGAACGCTTGCATAGTAGTAATAAGACATGAACAAAAGTTATAACAGTAAAAAGATACAGAAGATGGAATTGACAGGATTTAGATGGGGCATTTGAGGGAGAGACTAATATTAGAAGTACATGAGACAGCCATCAAAGATGATAGCTTATCCTTCTAAATCTTCTAAGTCTCTTTTTTATTTTAGGAATTATTGAAGCACTTTACAGATACTATCAGAATGCGGCCACAGATGTGAGGCGCGTGTGGCTTTCCACAGGGGTGGATCACTTTCATTCATCTTTTGGTGACAAAGGTTGGGGTTGTGGTTACCGAAATTTCCAGATGCTACTTTCATCATTACTGCAAAATGATGCTTATGACGATTGCTTGAAAGGTATGTGAAATACAATTCTCTGAACGTGTCCACTGATACATAGTTAGCCCTTGAAAAACATGAATTTGCACTGCAGATACATGGGTTTTTTACAGTCTAATATTGTAAATGTATTTTCCTTATGATTTTTTCCTTACGATTTTCTTTGTTCTAGCTTTATTATAAGAATACAGTATATAATAAGTATAACATATAAAATATGTGTTAATCAACTGTTCGTTTTATGTTTATTGGTAAGGCTCCCAGTCAACAGTAGGTTATTAGTGGTGAAGTTTTTGGGGAGCAAAAAGTTATACACAGATTTTCAACTGTGCAGGCTATCAGTGCCCCTAACCCCCTGTATTGTTCAAGGATCAACTGTACATATAATATGGAATGAATTAATATATAGTACTTTAGTAACTATCATGTAACGTGTTTGTTTGTATAATTTTAGGTATGTCAATTCCTTGCATTCCAAAAATTCAGTCTATGATTGAAGATGCGTGGAAGGAGGGTTTTGATCCTCAGGGTGCCTCTCAACTTAATAACAGGTTACAGGGAACAAAGGCCTGGATCGGAGCATGTGAAGTATATACACTTCTGACCTCCCTAAGGGTAAAGTATGTACCTGAAAACCCAAGTTGAGGTTATTGTCATACCTGGGAGGTTTTCTTTGTTGTTGTTTTTTTCTTTTATCAAAGGACAGTTAAAAAATAAAATTTAAGTGGCACTGAAAGGCTTATACTAAAAACCAGCAATTCAGTCCTTATCTTATGTTCTTCTCTCTTCTCAAGTCTGATTTCTCCGATGCAGCTGTTACTTCCATTGTTTCTGAATAATATGCTTTCAGGGCTTTTTTTTCTTTTCTTTTCTTTTTTTGGTTTATCAGTTTTAGACATTGTCTGTTGCATTTCCCTCACATTTCTTACCTGTGTTCACCCTCAATCCTTTTATTTTGGTTAATAATTAATAATTGTATTAATATTATTCATTGCTGATTTTATTTCCTTTCCTGAAAAGCTTTTAACAATTCTCCTTGAGTTAAGAATTGTCTTTTCTTTTCCTTTTTACTACTTGACTGCATCATGGTCTCAAACTTTTTCACAACCTCCACTTATGTAATCTGAGGCACTCCTATTCCTGGACACTTCTTCTTGAAGCCCTCCATTGTCTTTGCTCTAGTCTCCTAGATTCCCTTCAAAGCTGTAATCATGTAGCATTTCTTCATTGTTTTCTTGAAGTAGAGCCTTGATTCCATGTCTTTATCTTTTTGGGATTGCTCTTCTGCTTAAACACATCTTTCATTAGCTTCCTAAGAAAAGGTGCCTAGTCCTTATTACTTAAATGATAGTTTGGGTGGCTGTGTTATTCTAAATTCAAAATCATTTTCAGATCAAATTAAGTTCTTAACTCTGTTGACTTCTAGCAATCAGTGTTACTATTGAGAAGGTAAGATGTTATCTGATCTTCATTCCTTTTATTTATAACCTATTTATTTTCTCTGGAAGTTTTTTGCATCATCTCTTAGTCCTGCTATTATGAAATTTCACCATGAATGTGGGGCTTTGATTCATTGTATTAGGCATTTGTTTTTCCTTTTGAATCTAGAATTGTGAATTGTAAGATCTCAGTATAGTGGTTAAGAGCTTGGACTTTGGAGTCAGACTGCCTACAACTGATTCTAGTTTTCCTGCTTATTGGCTGGCTGTATGACTTAATTTGTCTGTAGCCTAGTCCCACCGTTGATAAAAAGAACATGTAAATAGTAACTGCTTCATAGAGTTGCAGTGATATTAAGTGAGATGATCAAGTGCTTAGAACTGTGACTGGTGTGTAATAAGAGCTCAGAGTTAACTGTTTGATAATTACGATTCTTCCATTTTCTTTATTCTTCTTTCTAGAACTTCTGGTAGTTGGCCACTGAACTCCTTTGACTTTTTAAGTTTATTGGTCATGTTTCATTTTTTTATCTTTGCTTTTTGTTTTACTATGTAGATTTTCTCAGCTTTATCTCCCAACTATTCTATTGAAATTTGTATCTTAGCAATCATGTTTTTAATTTTAAGGGGCAATTTCATAGCATCATAGTCTGTTATGGTTGCAGATTTTTTCCCAACATTTTCTTTCTTTCTATTCCTTGCATTTTGTGGGTTTTTTCCATGTTAATTTGTTTTCACTCTATTTATTTTAGTCTTTTGCATTTTGAAGGCTTTCTTCGAACTTTTGTAAATCCCTAGTTGTCCATTCCTAAAGTGAGGGTGAGGCACTAAAAGATCAGAGGTCGTATAGGATTACATGGAGCTTGCAGATGAGCAGACTTCATTTATAGAGTTTTAGGAGAAGCTTTCTGTTTGTTTGGGGAATTCTGAAAATTTTAATATAGGAAGAGATCTTTTCTAGGGGCCATTCAGAGAAGAATTCTCCACTCTCCTGCCTAGAGCTCCTGCACTGATGGAGGGGGTAGTTAAGCAGTGATTTGCCTTCTTTATGCAAATTTTCAATTCATTTCACATTATACCCCCAACTACTACTCTCCCCAATACCTAGTGCCTCTAAGCTTCCAGCCTCTCTGGGATTTTAAGACAATTGTCTGTTTTTTTTTTTTCATTCACTTTTATGTTTCCTTTTCTGCTTTTCATTTTCCAAAAGTGCAGGGCAGTTTGATCTGTCTCCATTATCTTTGTCTTTGGCTATTTGAATCATTTTCTCCTTCAGTTTTATGTTGTTGGGCTTTCAAGAGGGAACAGAGATAGATGCTTATGATCATCTTTAATGGAAAGTTTGCCTTTAAGCTTCATAGCTCTGTGTTTTCCTTTATGTTTGTTTCACATCATTTTTACCATATTAATTAACTAGATTCAGAGGTAAAATTATTTCTTAACTTTTAAATAGAAAAACTTTGGGGGTGCCTGGGTGGCTCAGTTGATTAAGCGTCCAACTCTGGATTTCAGCTCAGGTCATGATCTCTAAATCAAAAGGACTATTTTAATGTCCTCTAACTTTATTTTTTCTTCTTGCCAGTCTGTTCACACTTTCAGATTACATATATTATATCAAATACTAATTTTTCAAGTCATGTTTAAGGGAAGGAAAATATCTGTCTAAAATACCTCATATATCCAGCTGTTTTCTTGGTGCCTGAAATAGTTTAATTTTTTAGTAAAGCCTCTTTAATACTATGCTCTGAATTTTTTTACTAGTTTAAATGTCTTCCTTTCACTCTCTATGAATTATATTCTGTAGGGTACTATTCAGATTCTAAATCTAAATATGCAGTCAATTTGAAACCCAGAAGTACTGTAGCTACTTTTTTAACAATTTATCCAGAAGTTCATTTCAGCATTTAAAACTCAGTAGTAATCAGTTGAATGTTAGCCTCAATACTAAACTCGCTGAGGCTAAGGATAGCAACCATTATAATGTGTTTGGTGTATTTATATATTGGTGTATTTGGTGTATTTGGAGACTTTGTCAAGAGAGACAAGGAGGGACAGGATATCTGTGCTATACTTTAAAGTGACAGAAAGGCTTTTAGTTGCTTTTGCTTATAACCGAACTTTTACTATTTTTTTAAAGATTTTATTTATCAGAGAGAGAGGGAGAAAGAGCACATGCGCAAAAATGGGGGGAGGGGCAGAGGGAGAGAGAGAATCTCAAGCAGACTCCATGCTCAGTGGGGAGCCTGACATGGGGCTGGATCCCACAACCCTGAGATCATGACCTGAGCAGAAGTCAAGAGTTAGACCCTTATCCCACTGAGCCACCCAGGCGCCCCTTGCTTCTACCCGACCTATTAAAAATAGTTGCTGAGAAGTGTCAATAGTGCTTCTGGTTAAAATAATTTCATTAATTCAAGGCTGACTTCTCTTAAGGAAGGAATACCACTGTGATCTAGTGCCAAATAGCAGATAGATAGATGTATATATGGGAGGAGTACGTACGGGGTTTTTCTGAGATCTTTGCAGGTGTTCTTGTCTTGTCTGTTATTGGAATTTGTGAGAGCCAAGAGGAAAAATACTCAGGATATTTTTGATAGATGTGAATGGCTATTGTGGAATTAAAATTAGAAGTCAGCTTCTAATTGATCATCAGGTTTAGAGACTTTAGAATGCAAGTTGTGTCTCAGATTACATGTAGATGACTTTTAAAAAACCAAGTATGGGGGCGCCTGGGTGGCTCAGTCGTTAAGCGTCTGCCTTCGGCTCACGTCAAGATCCCATGGTCCTGGGATCCAGCCCCACATCGGGCTCCCTGCTCAGCAGGAAGCCTGCTTCTCCCTCTCCCACTCCCCCGCTTGTGTTCCCTCTCTCGCGTGTCTCTCTCAAATAAATAAATAAAATCTTTAAAAAAAAAAAAAGTATGGTCCTTATTTATTCTTCATAGAGATTCTGTATGTCAGAAAATGTAACTTTTAGGGCCCCTGGGTGGCTCAGTTGGTTAAGCGACTGCCTTCGGCTCAGGTCCTGATCCTGGAGTCCTGGGATCAAGTCCCACATCGGGCTCCCGGCTCAGCAGGGAACCTGCTTCTCCCTCTGACCGTCTCCCCGCTGTTTCTCTCTCTCTCTCTCTCTCTCTCTCTCAAATAAATAAATAAATAAAATCTTTAAAGAAAAAGAAAATGTAACTTTTATATCAGTCATCAATCTTATTAAATCTTATTTAAATAATTATTTCTGCATAAAATGACATTTTTCCAGATACATAATGAAACTTGTATTTATTTTCTTTTTAGGAAAATATTGATGAGATAAAATTAGTTCTAAATTAAAATTTTTTTGTATTTGATAACTCCATTGGTGAAATGTTTTAAAAACTGTTCTCCAAACCATTTTGTCAATTTTTTAATAGATGCCGCATTGTTGATTTTCATAAGTCAACGGGTCCTTTGGGTACACATCCTCGTTTATTTGAATGGATATTGAACTATTATTCTTCAGAGAGAGAAGGGAGTCCAAAAGTAGTGTGTACCTCTAAACCTCCAATCTATCTTCAGCATCAAGGTTGGTATAACTCACAGATAATAAGTATAGCTTATACCTTTAGAGGACAACTAATTGACTTTCACTTCAGCCCAGATTAAGATTCAGATAATAGGGAAGGGGGGAGTATTGTGACATTAGTCTGATTTTCAGAGTGACATTGTCATTATAGTACCTTCCTGGGTATTGAAGGGTGCTATCCCTCGTATATTTCAGGGCCACCTGGTTCTCTTTTTCTTGTTCATCCCTTACTTCTTTATTTTTTAGGTCTTCATCTGTGTCACTTCAGTAAGGCCTTCCCCTATCACCTTATTTAAAATTCCATCTTGTTCTCAACCCCTCACCGCTGGCATTTTCTGTCTCTCTTCCCTGCTTTATTTTTTTGCATTTAACATAATAATATGCTTAATTATTTACCTTGTTTATAGGGTATTCCTTCCTTTTAGAGTGAAAACTCCTTGAAGGCAGGAATGTTTGTTCTGTTTGCTTCTGTATAGCTAACTGCCTGGAATAGTGCCTGACATCCATGGATACTTGATAAATTTTGTTTAATGGATGATTTTAATCAACAGGAATAGGAGCAGTAAACGTTGGGAATTTCATCATTTAGGAATACAAGCTGTAAAGGTTAAACCCTCCCCATTGAAATTCTAATATATATAAATTTACTTTTGTTAATTTGGATTCATGAGAGATTTTGTTCTGTGGTAGATAATTTTCAAATGCTTTCATGCATTTGAAATAATTTGGATAAGAAGAATCAAGGGATTAAGAAAGAAGAACTAAAATAATATAGCACAATAGACATAAAATTTTTTGCATTGAAGCCTTTAAGAAAAGAAAAACTGAACAAATGAAAACTGAAGGTTAGGAAATAGAACTAAAACTATTGTGTCTTCAGAGTGAGAGTACCTGTCAGAGGGACTGACTTTATTTCTGTTCTAAACTCACATGTGCACACACTGCATACAGAGAATATATATATAGTGTGTGTGTATTTAATAACATGTCTATATGTATAGCAATAGACAGGAGACACACACATATATATAGTTTTTTTTTTTTTAATTTTTTGATAGGTCATAGTCGAACAGTTGTTGGAATTGAAGAGAGAAAAAACCGAACACTATGTTTACTAATATTTGATCCCGGATGTCCTTCTCGAGAAATGCAGAAACTGTTAAAGCAAGACATGGAGGCTAGCAATCTCAAGCAACTTCGGAAATTTGTGGGAAATTTAAAACATAAGCAATACCAGATAGTGGCAGTAGAGGGTGTTCTTTCTTCAGAGGAGAAAGTTGTAAGTATCTGCATATTTGGTTATGTGAAGCTTGAACCAGTTGAACTTACAAGTTTAAAGTTTTTAGTTAGAATCAATGTTAATCCCTTTGTATCTCATTCTGTATTATTTTGGTTTTGTATCATTTAATTTCTGGAGTGGACATCTTTGAATTTCAAACGCTACCTAATGACTTTCAAATACTTTACTCAGAGCTTCATAAAAATATTTATTCTTAAATAATTGTTAATAACATATATGGTAAAGAAAACCTCACTTAATCCCAGGAGACCTAACGCATATTGGTCTTAATAATTATGGTTTATTAAGCGTGATTCTTGTAATTATTGAGACTCCATCTTACGCGTTGGGGTTACTGGATATACACAGTTCTAGAATTTTAAGTTCAGTACAGTTGCCTCTTTATCCCTTACAGTTAAGTGGTGACTGGTACGTTCATAAGAATTTCTAGGGATTGAAAACCCTCCAGTTGGTATAAACTGAAGCTGTGTAATGGCATATCAAGTCTAGAAAATGCACAGTTCCCAGAATCTTAAAAGAAAAAAAATGTCCCTATTAGACTACTCCACATGATTTGTTTCCCTCTGAGGAGAAAAGAGAGGACTAGAGAGGAGCATTTATGAAGAGTAACAGGATTACAGAGGAAAGCACTAAAATTACTTGAAATGAGAGATAGAACTAGATATCCTTTCAGCCTCACAACTTGGAATATAAAGGCAAAGATTGTTTCAGAGGTTCTTCAATTTAATTAAATCTCAAAGGTTTCTTTGCCATGACATAAATGCCAAAATTGCATTTATTTTTTCACCCTATCCTTAATTTGGTTGCATAAAGTTAGAGATTAATTTTATTTATTTATTTTTGGCTTTTAAAAAGACATTTTTATTTTATTTTATTTTTCAAAAGATTTTATTTATTTGAAAGAGCATGCGTGCGCACACAAGCAGGGGGTGGGAGAGGGAGAAGTAAGCTCCCCGTTGGGCAGGGAGCCCCAAGTGGGGTTCTATCCCAGGACCCTGGGATCATGACCCAAGTGGAAGGCAGATGCTTAGCTGACTGAGCCACCCAGGTGCCCCTATATTTTTATTTTATTTTTAAAGATTTTATTTATTTATTTGTCAGAGAAAGAGAGAGAGAGCACACCAGGGGGAGTAGCAGGCAGAGGGAGAAGCAGGCTCCCTGCTGAGCAAGGAGCCCAATATGGGACTTGATCCCAGGACACTGGGATCGTGCATGACCTGAGCCGAAGGCAGACGCTTAACCAACTGAGCCACCCAAGTGTCCCTATATTTTTATTGTACTTCCAGTGTTGTTAACCTACAATATTATATTGGTTTCACGTGTACAATACAGCGATTCAGCAATTCTATACATTACGCAGTTAAGCGTGTTCTTAATCCCCTTTACCTAGTTCACCCATCCTGCACCCACCTCCCCTCTGTAGCCATCTGTTCTCTGTAGTTAAGAGTCTGGTTTTTGTTTGTTAGACGTTAGTGTTAATAGTTATAAATACCAAGATGCTTGTTCATCAACAGAGCATAGGTGAGGTTAAATATTATCATGGAGCCTAGCTGAACATTTTAGTTAACTTTCTGGTTTTAGAAACTGAGGCATTGGTGTTAGAATACTAAAAATGTGCATTTGCTACTGTTCTTTTTTGAGTCATGGAGAGTAGCTGTGTCTTTAACCAAAAGAATCAGAACTTGGCTGACTGTGTACAATGCCGCCAGATAGAGAAGAAATAATAATATGATTATAATTATAATATTGATAAATACTTTATAATGCTTGCTTTGTGCTAGGCACCATCCTAAGCATTTTACCCAAATATTAACTAATGTAATCTACACAACCGCCCCATAGAGTAGTCACTATTATTCCCATTTTACAGATGAGGATGCCTAAGCTCAAAAAAGTTGTATCTATTTCTAAAGTCACACAGCTGCTAAGTAACAAGAGGCAGGATTCCAATTCAGTCCATTTTCGTCCAGAGTCCTTCTCTATATTGCTTCTTCTGGGAGGATACAAAGTCTCATCATTTCATGTTTGCTAATTAAGCTTGCATGTGAACAATTCACTTTTTTTGAAAAGATAGGACAGTATATTTTGAAAAATGAAAAGAAATCATCAGTTAACATTGTTTTTGCATATCGCTTTCAAGCTTAGGTTTTTGTTTTTTCCTTTTTTAAAAAAAAAATCAGTGTGTCTTATAGTTATTCTGCCATTTTTAACAGTGCTTGTACACATTATAGGAATTCAGCAAATACTGATGTACTGATTGATCTGCATATCACCAGATAGAAACCTGCGTCTTTTACTAAGGGCACATTAATGACTTTACTTTTTATTTCAGGGTGATTGTTTTTTTATAGCTCATTTTAAAATGTCTTCCTCCTAAGTGATAGCTATAATTTTAAATGTAGGAATTTCAGAACAAATTTGGTGTTTTAAAGCATCCCAAAATGTAGATATTTGTAACTGCATTTTTTGTTTTGTTCTTCATATTTGGAGTTAATTATAATATTTTAATCATGAAGCTCTTATTCAAGGAGAGGAATCGGGTTTCAAAAAATTGTTTTTATCCTGACAGCTGTCCTATAATTACCATAATATATTTCTGCCATAAATATATTTTGAGTATCTAATAATTCCAAACTGTTATATATGTTTGAACACTTGTTTAGGTGAAAGGATTTATGTTGGAAAATATCTCCTAATGCAGTTCAGTTAAGTAATGCATACAAACCTATTTAAGAGCCATTTTCCTCAATTCTTTTCATACATTGACATGTTGTAGTTAAATTCTATCACTGCATTCTTTGTTTTCCATTATGTAATCTTGATTTAACTTTGTTTTAAATTAGCTTGGTATAATATACCTTGATTTGTAACTCAAGTTGTGAAAATAGAACAAATGTTTAAAAGGTCTTTTAGGGGCACCTGGGTGCCTCAGACGGTTAATCATCTGCCTTCAGTTCAGATCATGATCTCAGGATCCTAGGATCCAGCGCCCTTAGGCTCCCTGCTCAGTGGGGAATCTGCTTCTCCCTCTCCCTGTTCCCGCAGCTTGTGCTCTCTCTCTCTCTCAAATAAATGAATAAAAATCTTTAAAAAAAAAAAAAAAGTCTTTTAAAGTGACATTTTTAAGACCATAATGAAGGAGATAAATTTTCTTAAAGGTTCTCTGCGGGGCGCCTGGGTGGCTCAGTCGTTAAGCGTCTGCCTCCGGCTCAGGTCATGATCCCGGGGTCCTGGGATCGAGCCCCACATCGGCCTCCCTGCTCGGCGGGAAGCCTGCTTCTCCCTCTCCCACTCCCCCTGCTTGTGTTCCCTTTCTCTCTGTGTCTCTCTCTGTCAAATAAATGGATAAAATCTTAAAAAAAAAAAAAAAAAAAGTTTCTCTGCTCACTGCTCTCTCTCTGTCTCTCCTTCTCTGTGTTTATACATGTCTCTTTATGACTGTGATCCATCATTTTTACTTTTGACTCATTATTCCTTAAAACTGAATTTTCTTTTTACTTTGTTTTGTCTTTATCTGGTATTTTGTTTAAGTTTTTCTTTTTTTTTTTTTTTTGGTTTGGCTTTAAAAATGTTTATTTCTGGGATGCCTGGGTGGCTCAGTCAGTTAAGCACCTGACTCAATCTCAGCTCAGGTCTTGATCTCAGAGTCTGGAGTTCAAGCCCCACGTCAGGCTCCACTCTGGGTGTGGAACCTACTTAAAAAAAAAAAAAAAAAGTTTATTTCTAATTTCCTAAGTTTGAAGTTGTAATTTTTCTTAAGGAATTTTCATTATCTTGAAAAAATTTCTAGATTTTATTTTTTATATTAGATAATTAATATATATTCTAATAATGGACTTCTTGCTTAAAATTAACAGTTCTTTAAAATTCCTTTTCAAGGCCAGGAGACAAGCTTCTCAAGTTTTCACAGCCGAGAAGATTCCTTGAAGAATTAATTAAGCATTGCCGTGATCATGGAATTTTACTTTATTTTCCAAATTCAGATATTAAGGTCCCTAATACAGCTTACGAATCTGAATTCTTTACTCAACTTATATTTTAATTTCTAAAACATCTAAATCACACCTCTTGTACCTCATTGTTTAGTAACTATTTCAATAAACAATTTTGTTTGCATTATGAGTTCTGTATTTCCTCTCACATCTTAGTGTTAGAAACTGGTTTTGTATGATGATTGTATGTAATATTTATTGGGTCCTTGTGTTAGGTATTCTTAGTATTTTCCATGTATTAATTACTGTAATCTTCAGTTCTGTAAGACAAATTCTGTTAGTCCTGTAAGGAAGCTGAAGCTCTGCAAAGTTTGTAATTTTCCCAAGAAAATGATTATAATCCAGGGTGTGAACCCAGGCTGTCTCACTTCCAAGCTCTTACATTTGGGCATTCTGCTTTCTTTTGTTATAAAACATATATAATGAAATTCCCTCCTCATCACTTAGAAATTACCTTAATATTTAACAGGTATAGCTCTAAAAAGAGGGATTTGCTTTTGTTAAATATTTATACTCCTACCCATACAACTGTGTATTAGAACTTTGGGTTTAACATGTCCTGTAGGAAAGAAACTTTCAGATTCATGTTGGATGTGTCAAGTAAGGTTGCAGGCAGGAATCCTATGTCAGCCAATTTGAGCAGAAGGGAATTCATTGAAAGATTATCAGAAGCTCAGAGAATACACCAGTAACTAGGAAACTGTGCTGGAACAAAGACAATTCTAGAGGCTAGAATGTGATCTGATTCATAGCGGAACTATCAGGTTAGGAGCTGAGGTCGGATGTCTCTGCTCAAAATTCAGATTCTAGAAAGGCCACATCTGATTGGCGTGAGACTTGGCCATGGGACAGAGGCAGTTTCTCAAAAGGAAATCAGAGTAGATAAGGAAATGGATATTGTACAACAACAACAAAAAGCAACACGAAAAAGGAAGAACATACTTGAATACGGTTTTATAAATATTAGCTACTCCATCAAATAGTAAAAACTGCACTCCAAGAATGAATAATATTGCTAATCAGAAAATTCTGGAAACCATCTTTCCTAATACTCTGTCCCTCAGACAGGTAACCAGGTTTCTACTTTACCTTGTTTCAAGCCACCATTACCTTTTATCTAGATAATGTAATAATGTCCTACCTGGTCTCCCTGTCCTGATCCTCTGTCAGTCAGTCTTCCACACGTAAACCAAATGTTTTGAAATACAGATGTGATTTTGTGACTTCCTAGGTGAGTCTTCTTCATTGCTCCTGGATAAAGTCCAGACATTCCACACAACCTGGGCCCTGCTTACCTCTCCAGGTGCATCTCTCAACACCCTCAAAGTTCTACTCCTTCCAGCCTAAAATCCTTTGCCAAAGAAACAGTTGATCCTGCCTAGGACCCTTCTCCCCATAGTTCTGCACCTCTTGGAAGTGCTCTCTGCAAGGCTCATGTCTGGATTAAATGCGCCTTCTAAGTGTTTGATAGCAGTGTTTTTCAAAGTGTAGATAGATCAGTCATCTGAGCACTGCCAGTCCTTGACAAGATAATTACAGAAATTAGAATTGCTGTGATACTTTATTTTACAAAAATAATGGCATTGAATTATAATTTTTATTTTTAAATTGGTACTTCACAGACTGAGAAACACTGTTCTATGGTACCCTGTGACATTTTTATCACAATACCTCTGCTAAGTTGCAATCTGTTCTAATTTTCTATTTCTCTTTGCATATTCCCCTCCTTGAATGGAAGCTCTAAGATTTCAGGAGCAATGTCTACTTTTTAAGTCGTCTCAGAGTGCCTGGCACAGAGAGGACTTAAAAATACTTTTTTAGTGAATGGAAATAATAATTAGTTTTATTAGAGAAACAGTAATAGAAAAACTGTAGTCTGAAGTCTTTGGATATCCTGACTAGCCATCTGTGTGCAGATCATTTTTCCCCAATCAGATCAAACCAATTGCTATAGGATAAAGGAGTCAGGCTGAGAACATTTTTTAAGAAGTAACAAGTAAAAGTGTTAAAATTTTGAGTGTTCCCAGCCTTTGAGCAGGTGATAGAATTATAAATCCTGTCCTCAACAAAACAAAAAACAACCCACCCCCCATACAAACATACATACACAATATTTGCATATAGTATCACAGACTGGTTAAAAATACATGCTTTGATTCAGGGATTATCAATAATTTTGGTCCCAGCACCCACTGACAAATATTAAAGTCCCCAAGAAGATTTTGTGGATTACATCTTTCCATGTTTGCCATATTCAAAATTAAACCTAAGACTTTTTGTTTTTTTTTAAAGAATACACATTATTCTATTAGCTGTAGCCATTAGAACAATGATATAAGAACATGTCCTTTAGCCTCTGGAAAATCCATCGAGCGTCTTTCTAGAAGTACATATTAGCTATTGCACATATGAAATTCCAAACTTGACATTTTCAAGGAATGACATTTTGCACATGAATAGGTGCCAATTTTATGTAATTCTATACTACATATTATATATGTAAAATCGGGTCCACACAGTATATGTGTACCAGTCTCACACAAGACTGGGCTGATACTATTCCTGGTCATAATCTTCCTCATCTTCATCTTCCTCAGTTTCTTCCATTTCTTCAACTGGAAGAGCAGCTGCTTGCTCCTGTGCGGCTTTGAAAGCCCGCTCCTCTTCCACACTAGGATCATCCATTTCTGTAATTTCGGCTCCACTGGGGTACTCTTGGTAAACTGGCGGTAGAGCTGGGGGTGTATAGTTGTCTGGACTATATTTATGACCCCAGCCTATGTAGAAATTTTCAAACTTTCTATAAAGTTTGAAAAGAAAGTAGATGATCATTATATCCTTTTTCAGTAAGAGAAGTTGATCCTTCTCTTCTGTAAAAGCTGATCACTCTCAGTGTCATAGTCCCATAATTTTAAAACACTCCATTTGAAGTGCTAGGGATGAACTAGCCCTCAATGATTCTACCACAGGACACTACTGTGATCCAAACTGCTTAAGCTGGTTAAGAGGCTGGCCAGACTCGGTCAAAATGTACCCTACACCTAGACCGCCATCTTTAATCATTTAACTACTATTTTCAGGAAAAACAAAACAAGTTAAAAAGTTACTAATCCTCTTTAGAGTTAGGAAGAATTAAAAACTTGCCAACCCGGCAAATTGTTGGTATGGAGGAGGATGCTTGTGATTGGTCACAAACCTGTGTGTGGTGTTTCAGGCCCACCCATATGCAGTTGTCAAGCTTTATCTGGCAGGCCTCACGGGAAAACTGCTGTTTCTGTGCCATACTTGATGCCCAGCCAGTGCACTGCAGTCTCTGAAGGAAAGTTCTAGTCAAGGACTCTGACCCATCCGGCCCGCCATGCTCTTTGCATAGTTGAGTTCCTAGCACAGCTGCCTTCACTCTAGGTCTTATCGGAGGCCTTCAGCAAAGGTCTTCAGGTGCCTCTGCCAAGGCCTCCTTATGGGGTTGTGGAAGGGGGGCACCTTAAAGACACTTCTCTCTACTCTGACTCAGTACTCGGTACTTTTTCACTTCTAGCCCTTCCCCCCACCCTCCACCAGCTTCCTGGGCCCTTGAGGCCATAAAATTGCAGAAGCCTGATATCTGGGGACTCCTCAGTGAGATGACCTCTACATCTACACTGACCCACCGACCTTCCATCGGTGTGCCATTCCATGAAGGAAAACGGGACAGGAGCAGTCAGAGTTTTCTCTTGCTTGTATTGTCACAGTAAATGATCAAAAGCTTAATTCATTTTTGGCTTGTGGCTTTAATGGCATCTCTCACATTTGGCAGCTCAGCTCTCTCTCCAGCTTAGCTGAGCTTCTGACACTGGGTTCTTAGACGAGAAATGGAAGCATAAGACAAGTGGAAGTGTATGTTCTGGGTGAGGCATAAAAGGACACTGAGTATCGGGGCACCTGGGGGGCTCAGGCATTGAGCGGCTGCCTTCGGCTCGGGTCATGGTCCCAGGGTCCCAGGATCGAGCCCCGCGTCAGGCTCCCTGCTCGGCGGGAAGCCTGCTTCTCCCTCTCCCTCTGCCACTCCCCCTGCCTGTGTTCCCTCTCTCGCTGTGTCTCTCTCTGTCAAATGGATAGATAAAATCTTAAAAAAAAAAAAAAAAGGACACTGAGTATCCGCTTGATCCTAATTCTCTTGAAAGCGATAGCTAAAATAATACATATTTTAAATTTTTTTTTCAAGATATCCGACAAAAATTATATGAGATTCAAACTAAACAGTGCATAGAACCATCTCCATTAATCCTAGAAAATGAGTAAGTCTACGACTCAAATAATCAGAATAAAAACCATATTAGGACAGAGGTCTGAATTACTCTGGTGTTCTAAATCTGACACTTTACTACATAGTATAGATGTCACTTGACTGAATCTTATGGCACACACACTTGACATGCCAAGATGAGTTAAAACAAGAGTAACCCCCTTCCTCCTTCCTGAGCATTCCTGGCATCAGCCTTGGCTCCAGAAACAGACACCACTGAGAAAATCCCTCCAGTAAGAAAATAGCTTCACAGATTGTGGTGGTGTAGGTTCCCCGGGAATGGTCAACTCAGCAACAGGAAGAAGCTCGTCGTAGGCAGTGAAGTCGTACCCGCTATGGAATCTGGGGACTTCATCGTCTGCCTCCAGCCTCTTTCTCTCTCTTTATCGCAGCCCCATTTCTTAAGCTGTGAAATGGAGGACCTCTCTCCCCAGAGTTGTGATAAGAACTCATGGGGAAGATGTAAGTACAAGTGCCGAACATGACATCTGGCTCCTGGCCTGGACCTTCCTAGGTATCCCTCCTCCCGACCCCTTACTCTGGGTAGACTGCCCCATACTCTTTCTTTCCTCCCATCCTGGTCTGGGATCTCACCCCAGGTTTTTGTGAGCGGCTGCCCTGAACAACCACCCAGGGCAGCCTCATCTGTTACTCTGGGGTTACTCTAACTGCCTCACCCAGGTTTGTACTTCACCTGGGGAAGCAGGTTGAGGGAGGGGAAAAGGAAAAAAAAGAACAAAACTGGAACATAACGGCATTCTAGCGATAACTATAATTTCCAGCACTTAAATAATCATGATAATGGCTTTGTATACTTACTTGCCGTTGGAAACGGCATACGCTCC